AAACCTCAAAATCCTGATTTAGACTGCTCACCTTTAGAAAAAATTGTAGTTGCTCCCAACAGGCACAAGGGGGCGCTGACACCATGATAAATTAATTTCTGGGAGGAAGGTGTACCGGACCTGAAGTACCATAAGGTGAACGAACAGGCATGTGGTTGGTTCCTGGTTCACAGGGGAGCCGATCTTATTCTTAATTTTTTCCCACCACACACAGAGAGGCATATTTCTTTGTGGGTTCCCTTTACTGGTGGGTGGAAGTCTTCTGGTCTATGCTTTTGCTAAAAGTGTAGCCCCTTCCAGATCTTGACTTAACTTATGAGACCTGGGTTCAGCTGGGATTCACAGTCTATGTAGTCTTCTGTGTGGTTCTTTAATCTTCAAGGTCAAGGTGTTAGCGTTTGCCCCAAGGGCAGCTTTGGAGACAACCTGGTTTACACTCTTGTTTGAAGGGGTCCTTGTGAAGTTCCCTCACTATTGGCAAAATTAGTGATGGTTCTGAAATTGTGTTCCTTGTATTGGATCTAGAGTCTAGCTGCCTAATGATAGGCGGGATCTACATAAAGTCTAGAGCCCTGGCCTGACAGAAGGGAAGTTGGGAAGAGCAGTTTTCTTTCATTCTTTCATTCACTTGTTCAAAATTATTTATTGAGCACCTCTGTATGCCACCTAGAGTCAAAGTCACTGCTTCATGGAGCTCGTAGTTTAGAGAAGAGACAGTTATAATCAAAGTCACACAAATGAAAGTATATAATTACAGAATGGAAGGACAGACAGCTAAATCTGTTGTGTGTTTTTTGTACTGATGCTTTAATTCGATGGTGGCTTTTTCCCCTGTGGGTCTGGACATTTTTGTTGTGGGAATTTTTCCCCTGTGGGTCTGGACATTTTTGTTGTGGGAATTTTTCCCCTGTGGGTCTGGTAATTTTTGTTGGGGGAATTTTTTAAATTGGTTGCACTTCATCTCCGGAAAACCTCAAGATCCTTGTATGCTAAGCAACCAAGAGAAGGTGAGTGCTCAGAGCCTTGTGGACTGTGGAAGGAGCTTGCCCAGATTGCTCAGAATAACAGGAAGCTATCAAGGGGGACAAAGGGGTAGGGTAACTTGATCAAAATTGCATTTGAAAAGTTGAGTTATTGTCCAGATTCAGGACAGGATCAGGGCTGTAGTACAGGCACACCTGGCTTTATTGCCTTTCACGGATGTTGCACTTCTTACAAATTGAAGGTAAGACCCTCCACCGGCAAAAAGATTATGACTTGCTGAAGGCTCAGCTGATTTTTTTAGCAATACGGTTTTTTTGGTGGCAGCGGTGGGATCAATAGGTGTTTTAAAATTAGGGCATGTGCATTGGTTTTTAGGCATGATGATATTTCACACAATAGACTACAGTATTATGCAAAAACAACTTTTATATGCACTGGGAAACCAAAAACCTCATGTGACTTGCTTTATTGCAATATTCGCTGTATTTCAGAGGTCTGGAACCACGCCCACAGTATTCCTGAAGTATGCCCGTGTTAGGATTGGGAAGAAGGGAGTGAGTCCTAGGAAACTTCAGGTTAACAAGAGTTGGAGGCTCCTTTGAAGCAGGAGGAGAGGGGAGGGAGAGCTTCTTTGAGATGTGTGGCCTGAGGCTTCCCTCTGCCACTTTGGGATGGACGCTCAAGGATCTGTGACCAGAGGCGGCAGTGTGTGCCTGGAGCTCAGGACAGTGGTCAGACAGAGACACCAATTACGAGTGACTCCTCTTTTTTTTAAAAAAAAATTTTTTTTATTGATTTCAGAGAGGAAGGGAAAGGGAGAGAGAGATAGAAACATCAGTGATGAGAGAGAATCATTGATCGGCTGCCTCCTGCATGGCCCCTACTGGGGACCAAGCCCACAACCCAGGCATGTGCCCTGACTGGGAATCAAACCATGACCTCATTCATAGGTCGACACTCAACCACTGAGCCATGTCGGCCAGGCTAAGAGTGACTCCCCTTAAAGAAACTAAAGCTAAACTCTGCTGTTCAGTGAGTCTGGCAATAGTGACTTATACCAGAACCATCTTCACCCTGTCATTCCCCCTTTTCCTGCACATGTAGCCGTATTGTCATGATATACATAAGTTAGTATCCTGTAATTTCTCCTACGTGTTTGCCAAGTTATAAGCCCTTTACATGCGTCCCTCAGACACCACCCCCATTTTCAGCCTCAAAGCAGTTCATTGACTATGTCCTAATTCTTAGGGATTCCGTCTACCTAAATGAGTCTCAAGAATAATGATGACCGCCCAGCTGGTGTGGCTCAGTGGTTGAGCATTGACCCATGAACCAGGAGGTCCCCGGGACTCGATCCCCGGAGGGGGGCATCAGGAGGCAGCCAATCGGTGATTCTCTCTCATCACTGATGTTTCTATCTCTCTTCCTCTCTCTGAAATCAATAAAAACATATTCATCTAAAAAAGAATAATGATGATCTCTAATAACATCTGTTAATTCCTGAAGGAATTTAATGTGCATATTATGAGACCCTGCTGATGTAAAAACATCTAGCTTTTAAAAATATCTCCAGCCATTTGCCCCCTCCAAAAAAAAAAAAAAAATCTCCAGCCATTTCCTGCCTAACTCTGTTTATCTTTCCACCCTCCATTCCTGCAGCTATGCTTAACCTACTCACTGCAGCTCTGTTCTGCAGCCTGGCTGCAGCTCCTGCCGGGCTAGTGGAAGGGGCTCATGGCCACATGAGGCCTGCCACTCTCTGGTTCTAATGAGGAGCTCATGGCCACATGAGGCCTGCCACTCTCTGGTTCTAATGAGGAGCTCAGAGCAAGGGAGCTCCAGCCCCTCCCCGCAAGATGCCTCTGGAGAGAACCAGAGAAGGAAAATGGAAGTGCAAAGTCAGGCTTATGGGTGAAATTAATACCCCAAAAAGGATTTCAATTTAAGAAAATCATACAAGGATTTTAATATCTTATTCTCTTGCTAACTGATGAGAGATGGCAAACTTCAGAGGACTACCCTGACCTCCTGTCTCTTCTTTTTTTATTCTTAATTTTTAAAAATATACTTATTGATTGTTTAGGGAGGGAGAGAGAGAAACATCGACTTTTGTTGTTCCACTTATTTATCCATTCATTGGTTGACTCTTGTATGTGCCCTGACCAGGGATCAAACCCGCCACCCTGGTTTGTGAGCCACCCGGCCAGGAACTCCTGTCCCTCTGGCCCAGGTTATAAGAGCCATCTCCTCTTTCACGTGCTCTTGGCTCCCTTCCAGCCTCAGACTGCCCTGAGGTCTTCCCATGACTGTCGTGTCCAGCCCCCAGTCTCTGGCACCGCGGCGGTGCTGCACAGCCACCGGACCCACAGGCTGACCAGCCGGAAGGGATTTGGGGGGAACCAGGCCCAGCAAGGACAGTGCTGGCTCAGGCAGACCCACTTGTCCATCCCGGGAAGAGGCTCCCTGAGGCTGTGGGGAGTGCAGGCCGCCAGCACTAGTTCCGGTCACTCCCACCGACTCACAACTTGAAAGGGCAGCACGTTTCTGCTGTCAGGAGCAGCCAGACACCGTTACGTGTGTGAAGTCACTGGAGCGCCTCTCCCAACACAGGCTCCTGAGCCCAACCTCAGCTTCTGCTTCAGCCAGGCCCGGGTGGGGTTGGGAGTCATTCTAACCGACTCCCGGAGGTCCGATGCCGCTGCTCCCGGACCACGCTGGGACCACCGACCACACAACTGCAGGCCCTCACCCTGTGTGAGGCGGCGTGAAGGCTAAGCAGTCCCCCTGGTTCCGGCCAGTGGGCGCCTCCTGCACCCTCAGCAGTCCTTCCAGGGCCACCCACAGGGAGGAACTGCCTTGTAAGCAAGTGAGGGGCAAGGTGCACGCGTCACCATTTCTCTAGCAAGAACCACAGCCCGGCTCAGTGGCCACGTGCCCCGGGGCCGTGAAATGGCGATGGAAGGAGGGAGAATGACTTGCAGTCTGCGAGCCACCACCTGGTGAAGGACAGCTCCGCTAAGCACCTGTCGGGGCTGATGCTGGCAGGCCCACCAGGTGGACTTGAACTTAGGTGACTCAGGGGAGACTGTCATAGTGCCCAGGGTGACTCAGGGGAGACTGTCATAGTGCCCAGGGAGAGCAGGGTAGAGAGTCACCGAGCTCTGCTCTGGAGATGCATCCAGGAAGCTGTGTGATGCGACGCACCAGCTGTGCAGCCTGGGACGAGTTACCTAGTGTCTGAGCAGAGGCACCTCTGTCACGGTGGTTCGAGCGCTTGATTGTCTTTCTAGGCAGCGAACGGGAAAGGGCAGGGATCCAGGCATTCAGGTCACCACGAGGGGGGCCCAGTTTGATCGCAGAAAGATTAGTGGGTACAAACCCTGCTCAGCTTTATTGCCAGTTAAATGAACCCTCCGCCAGTTTTCATGCCCCCTGGGCGACTGAGATAAGTAAAGAAAGCCTATGCTACGGATGGGACCGTCTAGGCAGACACCCTGCTGCGGGCACACTCACAGCTCTCAGTGAGGGGCTGGCGGGGGCAGGGGGCGGGGGCAGGACCACGGAAGCAAGTGGGGTGCTTGGAGTTAGCACAATGCCACTGCCTTCAGCAGCCATTTCCCGGGCTGCTCTGAGCACAGGCTCCGAGCTGGGAAATGATCAGATGTGCGACCCGCCTCGAGCAGCTCCCCGTTTAATGGGGAAGCTGAGGACACAGGTAGGGCTGACCCCAAAGTCAGCCTGGGGAGGCGAGGAGGGACCAGGAGACAGAGCTCCGTCTGGGTCTGGGAGGGGCCCAGCCAGAGGGATGATGGAGTCACCCCTTGGCAATGCCCAGTGTTGGCCGGGAGGGACTAGCGCAGTGATGGCGAACCTTTTGAGCTCGGCGTGTCAGCATTTTGAAAAACCCTACCTTAACTCTGGTGCCGTGTCACATATAGAAATTTTTTGATATCTGCAACCATAGTAAAACAAAGATTTATATTTTTGATATTTATTTTATATATTTAAATGCCAGTTAATAAAGAAAAATCAACCAAAAAAATGAGTTAGCGTGTCACCTCTGACATGCGTGTCATAGGTTCGCCATCACTGGACTAGACCTTCCAGGCTGGGGGTGATGAGGGGCACAGCTTGTGCTGGGGCAGGGCTAGGCTGCCCAAGCTGCTGAGGGAGAGGGAGCTGGCGGAGGGAGGTGCCCCATCAGGAGGGGTGGAGTTCGGGCTTTTCCCTGGAGGGGGTGGGAGTCGCTGAAGGATGTGACAGCAGGAGGTGTAAAGGCCACACTTGAGTCACGGGGGAGAGGTGGGAAAGGAGATGGGGTGGGAGGCGGCTGAGGGCGCCGCCCTGGAATCCAGGGGAGAGTTAGCAGCCAGGCAGGTGGAGGGTAAAGTCACAGGGTGGCCGGGATGTCTCCAGCACCACCGCTTAAGGTAGCTGTTTACGAAGGAATCAGGACGGGGGCGGGCCTGCTCCTCACCACCTCCCCAGCCCCATCTGCACCTTCCAGGCCGGGAGGTGCCTCGACAGGAAGGCTGAGACTCTCGCATTGAAATCTCAACCTGGTGCTTTCCACTTGGCCTCCGACCTGGGCCGGTGGGTGGCGGTCCGTCCCACCTGGGGAGCTGCGGGCAGCGCCTGTGCAGCCTCATCCCCACAAGTGGAGGAGGTACTCGTAGCTGAGGAAGGTGACGGCGTTGACAGGAAAGGCGCGGGCACTGTTGATGGTCAGCCCCCGGAAGAAGACCCCCAGGCCCTCCTGCCGGGCGCTGCTCACCATGCAGTCCAGCAGCCCCTGGTACTCCCTTTGCCCCAGCCCGGCCATCTGCATCCGCGACTTGATCACGTCCAAGGGGGTGGCCGTCACCCAGGAGGTGATGCCTGCAAAGCCCCCTGCCACCAGCACTGTGGTCGAGCCTGGGGTCATGGGAGGCCGGGGCAGGGTCAGACCCGGGAACACCCTCCCCGGCCCTCGCCTCCCCCCTCCTCCTCGCTGGACCAGCTCCCCACCTCACTCCTCTCTGCCCCCCCCCTCACAGCACCTCACTTACTGGGGTTCTGGCCGTCTGGCGTGACTTGGCGACAGAGCCATTCGTAGCTGACGAAGTAGATTCCCAGTGTGGGGGTGTCCCTCAGCGTCAGAGCCCAGGCTCCCCGGAACAGCCCCCGCGGCCCCTCCTCCTGGAAGATGGAGGCCGCACAGTGCACCGGCCCCCGGTACCGGGGTGGGGGGCCCCCCTGCCGCGCCCTTGGCTCTGTCTGGTTTTGTAGCCGAACTTTGATGAGGTCAAAAGGGGCCAAGCAGTAGGCCTGCAGGGAAAGAAGGGTGAAGGCCCGGGTGGGGCCAGCTGGTGCTGAGGAGGAGGAGGAAGGCAGAGGGCATCTTCCCGCAGGACCGCCCGCTGCCAGCGCTCAGCTTCTCATACTCAAAGCTGGGGATGGGCCAGGGATCCTCCCCGAACCCAGGACTGAGCGGTGACTGGGTCTGAAGAAAGGGTGCAGGCTGCGCCCACGCACAGGGTAAGTAGGTCACCGCGTTCATGTTGGGGTCTCAGCCCCTACCTCCTGTGCACACCTCTCAGGGGGCAAGCGCTGGGCCCGCCTTCCTGCCTCTCACACACCCTCAGCTACTGGTGCCACATAGGTGGCCGTGCGTCTGTAGGTCCTAGAGCTCTTATCACTGGCTGAGGCACCCAGAACTCAGATTCGGGGTGGTACTGGCACCTAGGTGGGTGCTGGGAGGACATGGAGGGTGGTTGGGGGAGGGGCTGGGGTGTGAGTCAGGGAGTCAACCAGGTCGAGATCAGCGAGGAGAGAATTGAGGCCATAGCGAGGTTAGCGCAGCATTTGGGGGCGACATGAGATGTGTGTGTGTGTGGGGTGTGTGTGTGTGGGGGGGGTGTGTGTGGGGTGTGTGTGTGTGTGTGTGTGGTGTGTGTGTGTGTGTGTGCGCGTGTGTGTGTGTGTGGGGGGGTGCGTGTGTGTGTGGGGGGTGTGTGTGTGGGGTATGTGTGTGCGTGCGTGTGTGTGGTGTGTGGGTGGAAGGTGGGAGGGCTCAGTCCCTCAGCCGGGAGATGGCTGATGGCAGAGGAGACTGGCGGAGGCTCTGGCAATGATCTTTAGAGGGTGGAGGCCAAGCTGGCCGGCTTCCTCCCCTGCGAGAGGGGCCCTGATGTCGCAGGCTCCCGAGCCCTCGGCTCCAGAAGCTGAGGGGATGGCTGGGCCTAAGGGAGGGTGGCAGGTAGGCCCACCCTCCCCATCCCACGCCGACGGGGACAGTGGGGACATCAGGCTCTGCTGCACTGTGACGGGGTCAGCCTTCGCCAGCCCACAGCAACTCTCCTGCCCAGCAGAGGTTGTCAGTCTGCCCTGTGCTAACCCGAGTCCTGCCCAGCCTCCCTCCCACCTCCACACAAGACACACTTTCTGCCCCAAGACTGAAGTCAGGGGCTCTACAGCAAGCGGCTGCGGTCGGTCCCCGGACCCAGTCCCCATCCCACCCCCAGCCCCAGGACTGTTATCTGTTCTACTTTCCAAAGAGCTGGGGGGAGGCTGGCTCAGGCGCTGGGCCTGGCTGGGCCTAAATCAGGCCGCCTGGCCTGCAGCCTCAGTTCTCTTCCTTGTTTCTGGGGGTGCCAGGTCTCAGGGCGTGGGAAATATGCAGGCACGCGCCCTGCAAAGAGGGGCAGGAGAAAAGCCAGGCCCTTTGGGGGTCTCATGAGTTATTAATTCACCTTAGTGAGCCCTCGGCCTGTTCCTTGTCCTTGCTCTCTGCCTGCGAGTCTGTCAGGAGCCTCAGGGCAGATGCCAACTAGAGGGTGACCTGAGGCGCCTGGCGGGTGTGGGCGGGGCAGGCACACATCCTCTGCCTCTATGCTCAGAACCCCCATTCAGCTGGGGTTCCCCTGGTGCCTGGAGGCCCCTCTTCCCCCCACCCCACCCCTCAAAAGCCCAGGTACTTAAGTGCTGAGAACAAAAACCGAAAACAAATGATTGGGGTCACTTAATGATTAATTCCCGGGACCTCTCCCAGCGAGACCTGTGGACTGGGGCTCGGTGACTCCCAACCGCCCAGGCTGCAGGCACAGGGGCTGAGCAGGGCAGGGCGGGGAGAGCCAGGACCACGTCAGGGCAGGGCTCCCCTTGGAGAGACCCTCCCTACAGCTCTGAGGTTGGCAGGCCCCCCCGGAGGTGGGCAAGCCCTGTCCACCTCAGAGTGGGGCGTGGGCTGCTCTATGGTGTCCTCTTGGCACCATCTCCCCCGCCCACCCCCCTGAGCTCTCTCTGCTTTGGCCTCTTCTGTTCTGCACCCACCCTCCAGGCCTGCAGGGTGGACGGCCCGCTCAGCCAGGCCAGGCCTCTGGGAGCAGCAGGAGCTGCCAGTTCCCCTCCGCCTCTCACATTCCGGGGGGGACAGCCATGGCCTGCAGCTGTGGGTCCGCAGATGGGGCTGGGAGGGGCAAGACCGAACTGACCACCTCTGCCCCCACATGTGCGTGTGCGTGTGTGTGTGCGCATGCCCCCGCCGCCCTGACCTGGAGGAAGCCCCCGGTGCAGCCGGCTACGAAGACGTGCGTGTAGCTGGGCGGCTGGAGGCGCCGCTCGTGGTGGGAGGTGGCCGTGAGCACCAGCAGGGTGTTGCTGTAGACCCCGAACAGGACCGAGTTGACCACGGCTATGCTGGCGATGGGGAAGCTCATGCCCTTGAAGAAGCCCAGGATCTGCAGGGGGAGGACGCCCTGGGGTGGGTGGGGGACCTGGCCTCCCCTTGGCCCTTCCCAGCCCCGGCCTGGAGGCCACACTGAGCCCAGCAGGTGGCGGAGGCGCAAAGCTACCACCCAGCCCCAGCGGGAGCCCCAGACTTGGGTCTTCTCTCTCCCAAGGACAGAGCCCCGCCTGGGAGGAGGGAGCTGGTACTGACGCTCAGATGCCTCCCACCCCAAAGCCCCGGAGAAGCAGCCACCCACCGACTCATGGCGGTAAGTCTTGACCGTACAGTCGATGATGCCTCGGTAGGTGTTCTGGGTCTGTAGCCGCACCTGGACGGGAAGGACGGACAGAGCGGGACGCCCGCGGGGCAGCAGAGGCAGGAAGGAGCCTGTCAGCCAGGCCCTGCCCTCGGGGCGGCCTGCCCTTCGGTTCAGGTGCCATCTTTCCCTCCTCGGGCGCCTCCCCTACACTCACCTTCACAGTGTCGAAGGGGTGTCCCAGCACCAAGCCCAGTGCTCCTGTAGTGACAAGAAGGTGCTATAGGTGAGGCCAAGCCCCAGGCTGAGGGAGCAAGTCTGCGCTGAGAGGAAAGAGGGGTTCAGGCAGGAGAGAGGGTAGGGCCTTCCACAGGCTCCACAGAAACCCCGCTGGCCCCGTGCGCCTCCGCACCAGGCACTGGGCTGGGAAGGGACAGGACCAGGGGACAACAGGAGGGCGCCCCAACCTGGCCTGAGGGCATGCTTGCAGAAGGGAGAAGCCAACCACAGACTTGGGGTCCTCACTGGGCGCCCACACCCCAGTGCCTTGCTGGCTTCTCTAGCCATGACTCTGGAGGGGTCTCCATCGCTCCTGCCTCCCTGACAGTTTTTCTCCTCCCTCCCTCTTTCCCTCCCTCCCTCCCTCCCTCCCATCAACTCACAACCACTGTCCAGTTTGGGGCCTTGGTCCAGACCAGGCCCTGCCCCACCGGCGCTCTGCCCTGTCCGCCTGCAGTGCGTCCTTAGGGGAGTCTCGCTGGCCCCAGGGGCGGAGGGCGCAGCCCCCGGCCATCTCCCCGCCTCCTGGGCTTGCTCTCTGCAGCAGAGGCTGGTCCTGGAGCCTGGGGAGAGGTCGCATCCCCCGAGGCAGGTTCAGAAAGTCCCTCTATTTCTCCTCAGAGAAGTGTCCCCAGAAGCTGAGCTGGGCCTATAGCACAGCTGGCCTCAGAGTCCGGGCCTCCGTTCATTGCCAGGCAGGGCACAGGCCGAAAGGGGGACACGGGACAGCAGGTGAGGTCAAAGGTGAACTTCTTTCGGAGCCCCACACTGGGAGAGCGGGGTTCGAGGTGCAGGTGCTGTGGGTGCCTCCGGGAGACGCTCACCTTGGCTCCCCCTCTTGGCAGGTGTCAGGCAGCGGGGCCTTGGGACAGCACCCTGCCACCTGTGCCTTCCTGGCCTCTTCCCTCACACGGCTCCCAGCAGGCTCTGGGACCGCTGGCCGCGGACGCTCGGGGAGCCAGGACTTTGGCCTCAGCTCCTCCTATGTCACCTACCTTCCCCAGGAAGTGACCCACCACGGGGGGGACGTGACAGAAGGAGGAAAGAGGTCTCACCGGAGATCCAGCCGGCCACAAACTCCTCCACAGGCATCGTCCGGCCCGGTGGGGACGGTGGCTCCCGCAGAGCGGACGCGGTGAAAGTGTAACTACCCTCTCCCGCCCCGAGCCCGGCTGATAACCTCCCACTAATGTTTAACCCAGGCCTTGGGCACCAGGAGAGGGGAGCAAGCCAGCCTGGGTGGGCCCTGGCGGCCTGGGAGGCGTGCAGTGTGAAATCTCATGGGGCCCGATGACGGCCCACGGTGACCTGCCAGCCCTGCCAGCCACGGTGGGCCTTGAAGTGTGAGCTGGACTGGGCCCCTCCAGGTGCCTCGGTCGGCAGTGGATTAATGAGTAGTACACTGGGTACGGGTCCCTGGTAGGGCCCGCCATCCCAATGGGGGCCCCCCCGCAACACACAGCAGTCGCCCCGACTAAAAACACCCACCCTTCCCCACCAGGGGCACTGCCGGGGGCCCGGGTTCTTCCTGGCCCCGGGAAAACAAGGAATTTGGCCGCTTGGAACCCCCCCCCCCCCCCCCCCCCAGTGACTCACCGGGGCCTGGAGCCAGGCCTCCTCCCAGGGTTGTTTACCGCGGGACTGAGTCATCCGCAGCCTCCTGTGGCTCCTCCTCCTGAACCTCATGGGGGGTGGGGGGACTGAGTGTATAAAGGGTGGAGCACTTCTCTGCTTTGGAGGATAAGGCTTTGACTGCCACTTCTCTTTGCACAACTACAACCCAAACTGACAGGGCAGGGACCCGAATCCCTCTCCTGCAGGATGAGGGAGAAGAGGGGACGGAGAGGAGGGGGCTCTTCTTCTTTTTTTAAAAAAAAATATATTTGTATTGATTTCAGAGAAGAAGGGAGAGGGAGAGAGAGATAGAAACACCTATGATGAGAGAGAATCACTGATTGGCTGCCTCCTGCACATCACACCCAGGCATGCACCCAGAGGGGGATCGAACCATGACCTCCTGGTTCATAGCTTGATGCTCAACCACTGAGCCACACCAGCCGGGCTGTTAGTTATCTTGAAGGCTTCGAACAATGTGTGGCACAAAGTAGACACTCAATAAATATTCATGAAAGGACGAATGAGCAGACGGGTCAGGGGCAGCATCAGTGGACAGCCCTGCACCAGCCCTCAGTCCCAGTTCTCTCCCCCCATCCCCAAAGGGCCCTAAGAATGTAAGGCCCAACAAGACCCCTCCTGCCCCTCCAGAACCGGTTGCAGCTCTTGGTTTCCCATCAGATGTTCCAAGGACCAGTCCTGCTCGCCCTTCTCTCCCTTCGCCAAAGCCGATCCCATCCACCCACTACTGTCTCGTGCGAGGTTAGGTCCTAGGAAGCAGGGTTTCATCTCTGACATCCTCCCCCTGGAGCTGCCCGGGGCTCCTTGGGCTGCCCCAAGACCTTCCCGCGCACTGGCCTCTCACGGAGGCTGGGCTGCAATGCTCCTTCTGCTGGTTCTCTCTTGAGTGATGGTGGAAAATCCCTTCTGTGGGCCTCAGGCTACTTAACGCGTGCAAAAGTAGGGGACCAGCCCTGCTGATTGCTGAGTCTAAGGCCTTGGCTCTAAAGGTTAGCGCTCCCCAGTGCCTTGTAGAAGGACAGCCTCCAGTCCTGACTAGGTCTCCTCCAGTCCTGCAAGTCCTACCTGGTTAACCGTCCGCCTGGCAGAGCAGAACTCTGATCTCGTCACTGCCAAACCCACCACACTCCCCCCACCCCCCTGCCCTGGTATCCCCCTCTCCCATAGGGTGCCACCCACTTCCCAGCCTCACCTGCTGTGCTTTGATTGCCCAGGGCTTCCCTGGTGTCCTAACCTCCCCCTGCAGCTCCCACTCCCCGAAAGCCCTAGCCGGTTTGGCTCAGTGAACAGAGCATTGGCCTGGGGACTGAAGGGTCCTGGGTTTGATTTCAGTCAAGGGCACATGCCCAGGTGAGGGCTTGATCCCCAGTAGGGGGCGTGCAGGAGGCAGCCGATCAATGATTCTCTCTCATCATTGATGTTTCTCTCTCTCTCCCTCTCCCTTCCTCTCTGAAATCATTAAAAAAAAAAAAGGGAATCTCTGCTCCTCCTTACCGGCCTGGGTTTCAGCTTCCTCACCACCACACCTGCGCCAGGCCTGAGCTTGTTACTTAATCTTTTTTATTCTGTTTTATGATCATAAAATGGAGATATATACTCAGTGTGTTCTAAGGATTAAAGCACTTAGGCTGGGTCTGGCATATCCTCTATGCTCCACAGACGGCAGCTACTATTACTCTGATTTCCACTCCCAGGGCCATGGGGAGTGGAAGGGGGCCTATGCAGAGGGGATGCCCAGGAATTGAGGACCGTTCCCTTCCTGCTTGTGGCATTTTATGATTTTTAAGGCAATCTTGTCATCTTACGTAGTTTTAAAGTGTTTCTATTTCACATTGATGTTTCTCTCCCTCTCCCTTCCCTCTCTCTCTAAAATCAATAAAAATATATTTAAAAATTTTTAAAAAATTTTTTAACACTTTAAAAAATAAATAAACCGCCGAAACCGGTTTGGCTCAGTGGATAGAGCGTCGGCCTGCGGACTGAAAGGTCCCAGGTTCGATTCCGGTCAAGGGCATGTAACTGGGTTGTGGGCACATCCCCAGTGGGAGATGTGCAGGAGGCAGCTGATCGATGTTTCTCTCTCATCGATGTTTCTAACTCTCTATCTCTCTCCCTTCCTCTCTGTAAAAAATCAATAAAATATATTTAAAAATAAATAAATAAATAAATAAATAAACCATAAGCTTCGGTGTCTCACCCAGGTCTCCCTCCCCTGCTAGCCGGGCCCCGAACGCAGTAAGCGCTCAGCTGCACGGAACTGTTGCTCACTTTGCGCCAGCAGGTTAGGGAGGCCGCCGAGCCAGCGTCCTGGGCGGAGGGTCAGCGCTGAGAACCAGGACGGAGATGCCGGCTCCCACTGCGCCCTCTTCTGCGTCTGAGTCCTCGGGTCCTTCTGCAAAGGAGGGCATTGCAATTGTCTCGAGTGGGTCCTGAGAGCCGGCTAAGAGCTGTTTCAAATACCGAGGCAACGAGGCCCGAGCTAGGAGCTGGGGCTGCCCCGATGCCAGGGAAGCAGGGCCTGGTGAGCCACTCCTCCGCCCTCCGCAAACCCCTCTTGGTTCTGCTGATCACCACGGTCACTGTGGTCACTTGGAACAACCTCTTGTTCCTCTGGTTCAGGAAGGCGCCCCATGGACCTGTTTTTCTCCCCGAGATCCACCCCTCAGGCGCACAAGCTGGCGTTGCCAGGGCATGTTGGCGACGTGGCCCTGGGGACAGGCGGTTCACACCTGCTCGTCCAGCCCCAGCGCCTCTCCCGGCCTCGGGAAGGCCTCGCGGTCTCTGAGCCCGTGTCTAAGGCAGCAGGTGCGCAGGTGCCCGGCCTGGTCCTCGGAGGGCATCCCCCTTTCACAGACGAGGAAACAGGCCCGGAGGCGAAGGGGCTTGTCCAGGAGGAGTCAGGACGGGGCGCAGTCTCCTGACCACAGCGAAGGGCCCGTCACCCCTCACGGTGCTGCAGCACAGGCGGCTGCCTGGGTCACCTGCACCCAGCACCCAGCACCGTGTGAACCCGCCGCGTCCCAGGAGGGGAACAGGCCCAAAGTCACTACGCCCAGATCCCCGATTGCCTGGACCTCCCACACCTTGTTAGAGGCCATCGGTGTGGGGGCCACTCGCCTTTGGTCACAGGGGTTCGCAGCGCGGCCATCCCAGGGTGTGACCCAGGCGTGCCAGGCCTGCGCATGCGCAGGACCGCGGGCGGCCGTGGACGCACAGGCACCGGGCAGGGCGCGTGCGTGGCGGCCCCGGGCTCCCATTGGCTCCCGCGGGCCGGGGGGGCGGGGCTTGCAGCGCGGCGCTTCCTCTGCCCGCGCTTCCGCGTCGCAGCCCGGGAGCTGGAGCCGGAGTCGGGGAGTCGGAGTCCTGGCGGGCGGCCGAGCCGAAGCGGAGCTGGGGGTCGGAGTCCAGGCAGCGGCCGGGGCGGAGGCGGCTGGCACTGCGTCCCTGCGAGGTGAGCGCGCGGCGACGCCCGCCCCCGCCCCGAGGTCGCGCGGTGCCCTCCCTGCCTGGGCTGCGGGCGAGCCGCTGCTGACCGCCAGGGCCTGACCCCTCCCACCAGCCCCGACCTGGCGTTGGCTGAGGACCCGCGTCCGCACCCCTCTCCTCTGCGCACAGCGCCTCCAGCCGCCGTTGTTCGCTGTCGCAGATCCGCCCGGGACCCCTTCCTTCCTCAGCCCCGGACCCCCAGTGACTGCTCTTTCTCTTTCCCTCCGCAGATGGACGGGACAGACGGCAGTGCCGGGCAGCCCGGCCCCGCCGAGCGGTCCCATCGAAGCAGTGTGTCCTCCGTGGGAGCCCGAGGTGGGTTCCTGTCCCCATCTCCCCGCTGTCCCCTTCTAGGGCCCCAGCCCGGAGGGGTGGCCCTGGCCCCTCATCTGCTCCATTAAAGAGAATCTGTGTTAATTAACAAATAAGACACGTTGAGGTGTGGAAAAGTGACCCACGTCTATCCGAGGTCCTAGGTACTGTTACTAGGCTACAAGTTGGGTACTCTTTAAAAAATATATATTTTTATTGATTTCAGAGAGGAAGGGGGAGCGAGAGAGATAGAAACATCAATGATGAGAATCATTGATCGGCTGCCTCCTGCACGCCCCCCATCGTGGGTGAGCCCACAACCTGGGCATGTGCCCTTGACTGGAATGGAACCCAGGACCCTTCAGTCCAGCAGCCGACAGGCCGACTTTCTAGTCACTGAGCCAAACCACCTAGGGCTGGGTACTCCTTTTAAAACTTTTCTTAAAATTGATTTTTAGAGAGAGAGAGACAGACATTGATTTGTTGTTCCACTTATTGATACATTCATTGTATGTGCCCTTACTGGAATCAAACCCACAACCGTGGCGTATCAGGCTGCCACTCCAACTGTACTCTCCTGGACTCTCCCTTTCCTCCTTCGTAAACTGAGCTTGTCACACGTAGCTGTGAAATTCAAGTCTTATGAATGAAAAGTGACACTCACTTTCTTTGTTGGATTTCTTTCACACAAACACCCTTTGGAAAGCAGGGGTCATTATTTTCATCTTATAGGAAGGAAACGGCCCTGGAGAGGTTGTGTCACAGGATACCAGAGCCTTTGGTGCCTTGGTTTTCCCTGCCTGAAAAGTGGGTCTGAAATTCAGCCTCCTGGAGATTATTTTATGATTTCCCAAGAAAGTACCTGCGGCCTCCAGCGTCGCTCGGTGGTTGACCGTTGACCTATGAACCAGGAGGTCACAGTTCCGATTCCTGGTCAGGGCACATGCCTGGGTTTCGGGCTTGATCCCCAGTAGGGGGCGTGCAGAAGGCAGCGGATCTATGATTCTCATCATCGATGTTTCTATCTTTCCCTCTCACTTCCTCTCTGAAATCAATAAAAATACATTTTTTTTTTAAAAGAGAAAGTAGCTGTTGGGGAACAGACTGGGGATCTAAAAAGCACCTTCCCTTGTATTAATGATAAACTACGCCCTCGCCTTCCACAGGCTTCACCTCCACTCTTTGAGGGAGGGGTCTTAGCCCGGCTTTACGGGTGAGGCAGCCGAACTCACACTGACCTGCCGAAGTCAGCCAGCTAGCCAGGAGCCGGCCGAGGACTGGAACCGGAATATACTGGCCTCCACGCTCAGTGCTCCTTCAGGGCAGCTGCGGTTCCAGGGATGGGGGTTTGCATCTGGCTGCTCTTCCAAGGGTCTCCCTGTGGCTCTGGGCTCCAAATAGGAATCCCAGAGGATCTCACAGGGAAGGCTCAGCTTCTTCCCCTGGCCTATCCTGAAAGCCATGGTATTGCGTTCTGAGGCTTGAAGAGTTCAAAGGGAGCTGAGCCCTGGATCTTGCTTTGCCCTGGACTGGCCTTGAATCCTCAGTCCCCATCTTAGCCTGGGCCAGAGAGAGACAGCAACTTGCCCTAGGACAGTGGTTCTCAACCTTGGCTGCACATTAGAATGAGACCCAGAAATCAAGATTTTAAAAAGATTCCCAGGTGATTCTAATGTGCAGCCAAGGTTGAGAACCGCTGCCCTAGGATAATAGTGGGTCCCCAGCACGCCCCCTCCCAACCTGATACACCAACTGCTGTAAATCTGATGGATTAAGCCCGTCTGCCTCCATCCCCACCGATGTTCTCCTTCATGGAGGAAGCACAGAACAGCCCTTGGGGCTGCCAGGGGAGTGTGTGGCCAGCCCTAATTTGAACCTTCGGGGGTTAGGGACCAGTCCCTGGGGCAGAGTTGCTGGTTTTCTGGGTGGTTTGAGCATCTTGAGTTGAGTAAGTCCTAACAGAATTCTTTCACAGGGGTCCTTTGGAGACTGTCTCTGGGTGTAGCCTAGGTCACCCAAGGGTGTAGAGTGGAGGGCTCCAGCCCCAGTGGGACATGCCTGTGCCTGAGCACTGGCCCAGCTGGGCCCTGCCTGGGTTTCATTGCAGCAGCTGACGTGCTGTTGTATCCTGGCGGGATGACACTGTGGCTGCCTCTGGGAAGAAGAAGAGAGCCTGCTCGTCCCTCATGGCCACTGAAGCCTGCACCCGGGCCAATCCGGGGAGGCCCTTTCCAGCTATCCGGGAACGTGGGC